GCACTGTATTATTATTTTTAAATATTAGATAATATATGTATAATATATATAATATAATAATAATATATAATATATATAATATAATAATAATATATAATATTAGATAATTAAAAATATACTTTATGACATACATTCATACGTGTAGGAAATGTTCGTTTTCAAAAAGTATACAATTTAAAAATTCACACCTCGTGCTATAAGCTTCGCTAATTTTCATTAACACTTGCTTATTTGTCTTATCCATTTGTATTGGCATGTTGTGTGAAATGGTCATAAAAATGTGTTTGCAATACGGATGATATTTTTCTGCTTCTGTTCCTAATTAACGATCGTTATAAATCTGCATTTGTATAAAGATCATGGCTTTCTTTACGTGACATCGATCACGAAGGTCGCACCGATTTCTTTTTCTTAGATTTGTCCCATTAATTTCATACTTCATTATTTCCGTGTTGAAATAGACAAGAAAATGTGACGTCATTATGCAATAATCGGCAGTGTGGGATTATGCAAATTTTTTCTTTTGTATATCAACTTGCAAAAACAATTGCCACACAGTGACAGAACGTTGTTATCGGTAAAAACGTTGCTGACCGTCAAACACGGTATCGATGATTTCTGATTCATCAAAACAATGTCGCGCGCTCTCTACAACAGTAATCCATACTGTATTCATACTAATCCACGGTGTTCAAAGTATATTTACCAGCCTAAAATGTTTTGACAAATTTTGTATGGAATATCACGACTTCGACTCATGGTTCTAGCGTTAGAAGTAGATGATCAAAATCTTGATCAAGAAATCTTCAAAAATCATCTTTATATGTATATAAAGGTCGTAGCAACCCTATCATATAACGCACAAAACTAAGTAATTAAACTGACATTTTTCCGCCAGGTATCTCTGCTACGAAATCGAAGCTACCATGTAACATGAAAACCGGGTGACTGTCATACAGGGTTCAGAGTTGTTTATGCAATCCGTCTAATTGCAGAGCCCATCGCTACGACTTGCGATATAAACATTTGTGTATACATCATTATGAAAACGATCATAGAAACGCATACCAGACGGTTTCTATTAAACGTCCTCCAGCTCAATGATATTTATTTTCTATGCAAGGTTAAAGGAAACTTACAATCATATCAATGTCATCGTCGTTAGAGAATGCTTTACGATGAATTTTTCTATCAAGCGATACGCAATATCATAACTTTTCAATTTTCATGAGTTTCCCACGTTGAGTTTTCAAATGCTGATCGTCACCGATCTTGGCCAATGTCATATTTAAATATACGCAGAACACTGGATAGTAATAAAATTAACAATAATGTAATTGATTTAAAATTTGCGCAAGCTAAATATTTAGAAATATCAGCGATAAATTCTTTCGGATCGGAAATAATAAAGAATGATTTGATTAAGGTTCGTTGTATCTTGATTCCTAACATGATCCAAACTGCAAGAATTGTAGCGTTTATATTGTTGATTAAATATTTTAGTATAACAATCTTCATTGTGTGTGTATAGCCTAATCCTACAAGCACTGTATTCAACTGATCAATGTATCTCCTTAGTGATAGTCAGACGAAAGATCCAAAGATGAACATTTCCTCTTCGTTTTTATTTTTACCTTTGAAATTTTCAAGTTAAGTTTCATCCATTCTATCACATTTTATAAAAATCACAGGTTCCATAGTATTTAAGAAAGTAGAATGGGTGAATTACCACCCTGAGGAATGTATGAACGGAGTAAGAATAAGATAATAAATATAAAAAAAACAGTATTTTTATAGGATTATTAATACAGTATCATTCGCACTATCAGAGACTCCACTTTAAACAACTGTTAATCATAATCACCGGTTACCTTTTTCCATTAATCCCGTTGGCATTTTGCAACATGAATCGTAAGAGTAGATCAAGGACAGCAGCATACAGCACCCGAAGGGCACAGGAAGCGCTTACTCACGGCAGAAATATTTGTTGTTTGCTTGCAGTTTGAACAAGATGCACGCGATGGAAGGTGCCGCTGGTAATGGGAAGAAGGTGGACTCGGCCGAGAAGACGAGGGAGGACGATTCGTCGAGAGCCTCGCCGAAAGTTCCCCAGAGCCAGCAGAATGGGGCCGCACTGCCGGAGGAGACCGCCGCGGCCCCGGGTACGGTCGAATGCCTTCGTTCGACGTCCATAAAGAAGGAACCCCTCTGTGATTCAGAGTCAGAGACGACGACCAAGACCACCCTATCGGCGGTGGACACGGCGCAGCAGAAGCCTGTCGCGTCTCGCTGCGCGAAATCCGAAACGGAAGGAAACGGTAGGAAGCGAAAGGCCGCCGATGGACAGTTGTCCTCGAACGGGAACCCGGCGCCGAAGAAATCCTGTCTCGAACAAAGGGAACAGTATATATCGTCTCTGGTCGGCTGTGAGAAAGTTACCGCGGAAGAACTTGCTGCGAGGGCTGATCAACTTCGTGCCGAAGTACAGGTAAATATGATTTCCTCGATAGCCCTTGACCTACCCGGCCGAAATAACGAGCTGTGCCCTCTTACTGCTTGGTTGGGACCAAAATGCTCAACTGCGAATCACTATGACCACAATGTGGTCATCGTTTCTAGAGCAGTAATATCACTGACCATAAATGCTATTAAAAAGTAGTACTTATGTGGAAGAGAGTATTCAGATAGAAATTTAAAAAGCAGCTGTGTAGATACAATACCTGGAACAGTGCAATTAGATATAGCTACTGAAAATTTGAAATTGCGTTTATTTCTTTTTAGAGTAATTGTTTGAAATTAACAAGCACGACAGAGAGAGACAATGAAAAAGTTTAAGCACATTTGAAATAATATATAGGCTACCTATTTATTTGAAGTGTGATAACAATGAGATTTCCTTTCTGTTGAACGCAGGCCTTGGACGAGTTAGCACGTGCCAAAGAAATGGAATGGAACGAGATTCTAAGCATGAGGAAACTGAAGGAGGAGGCGTACCTGAGAATCGAAAGAAGGCGACAGGTGATGGGATTCATGGAAGGTAATGGTCAGTTAGCGGAGACGTTACCTCCGGCTAGCTTATCGCTTGGTCCCGAATGGGAGAGCAGCGGTAACACGACACCCGTATCCAAAGAAAAACTAAATTTCGGCTCGAAAGAGGACCTGCCCGAGGAAAGTTCTCGGGACTCGCCGGCTTTCAAAAAAGAGAAAACCGGTAAACAAACGTCTCAACGACAATCGACGCCTCCCAAACAGGGTGGAGAAAATGGCCGGAAACAGGCTGAAGCCCTCAGCCCAGAAAATAGGCAGATCGGCGAGGGTCGGCAAGGAGCCATCGTCGACGTTAGATCCATTATCGCTGATTACAGACTGAGACATCCTGAGATAGTACCGCGAAGGTAATTATTATTTGTGTTCTTTAGATCAGTTTTTGAAGGATGTAAGCTTTTCTTTTCTATACGTTTATGTCGTGAACAACCACCTTCTTGCTATGATTAAATAAACACATACTCGTTTTATCAAATCTTTCTCACATTTTATCATCGAGTAGATAAGCTCTCATGAATCGAGTTTCCCTTGTTTCTTTGTAATTGTTTTTCTGCTCATACTTGAATCGTAATCAAGTTAATATTGGAATTACCGAACCAATCAAAATGATTGCAAATTTTTGAATTCATGATAATTTAATAATTTTATTTATTCGGATGACAATAAAAATAATAGAATAATTTAACATAAGATGCATAGCTTATAAAATGTAAAAATAAACATATAAATTATATAAAGATATACATTTAATTTATCGTATATTTTAATGCTGCAGGGGTCGCAGAATGAGAAATTCGGTGAACGTTGGCCTTGGAGCTGGCGGTGCTATGGTAGAAACAGGACACAATGTTGACTCGAGGCCATCTAGTACGGACTCTTGTAAAAGCAATCCGAACATGTCTGATCCCAATAATTCCATGAGCTTTAAGGATGTGCTTGTACAATTTGCTAAACTGAGTCAACAACAAGGTATATAACAATTAATATTATTACAATTTTGTAACTTTTCACGTAACTTTAAAGGGTGAAATTATAGAAATGCTATTTAAAATTGAATATACAAATTTGTCTCAAATAATAATAAATAAAGTATAGATCGTATCGAATAATTTCATCGTGAACATGTCTTCCCGTAATTCGAATAAAGAAAATATTATTTCACTTAAGTAGTTCTCTAGTATTTCATTAATTGACTAATTAAATTGAGAGGAAACTGCAAGATTATGATAAATACGAAGAAAAATTACATTACATTATAAGAATTTAGCAATAATAATCTTGAAAATTTTCGTATTGTTTACAGGTGAACCCGTGAAAACACCTCAAAATTATCCGGATGTGACACTACACCCCGTGGCGCCGTCTCCAGCACCACAAAATACACCACCTCAGCAAAGCTGTTCATTGCTCCATGGAATTCTCACGAAATCACAATCTCCAAGACCTACAACTTTTTCACCTACTTTAGCTAGATTACTCACCGCACCTGAAAGAGAAAGGAATGCACCGACAGCCGCGTCCATGCCACAGCAAAATGCGGCAACCCAGCACCTTTTGCAGGCATATCAAGGCTCTAATCCGGTTTCCATCAGCGACCTTCTGTCTTCTTCCAAGGTGCTTTGCCGTTCCATAAAATGAAAATTATAAATTAATGATAGTTTCAATATTATTAATCTTTATTGTTCTTGTTTCCAGGCTCGAACTGAAATAACCATAACACCTGTAGTCAATACCCCGGTACAATCTCATTCAAATAATTTAATTCACGTGGTAAGGAAGATATCAATATACTTGTTTTCTTAATGCCATCCGCAATGAATGTGACATATATAAAATATCTGCAGTGTTTTAGCATATTTTCCATTTTGAGTGGTCTTCAATTATTCTACAGACATTTCATGCATATTCACATTTATTATACATTATTTAAAAACGTATAATGTACCAATTTGATTTTATTAAGCCATGTAAATTTATAGAATAAAGCAAGAAATTGAGACATTAAAAGATTAACATACACGTTCTCCGTATATGAGAATTGTGAAAATACACATATTTGTTAAAGGCGATTACTCAGTGATATGGCAGCGAATATGTATAAAATGAATTATAATTATTTTCACTCTTATTTATTTATAATTTTATGTTCAGGACGACGTTGAAGAGGAATCAGCAGTAATCGAAGATAGAGAAACGCGCATTTCTTCGGGTGGAAGGGATGCAAGGGAGGACAGAGACAGTCCTCCGCGATGCCAAGGGTGTCATGAACGTGCAGCACAATTTGTGTGCGCTGGCTGCGGAAATCAGTGGTACTGCAGCCGTGAATGCCAAGTAAGAAATTCAATTAAAAATGTATTCTGTGTTTACTAGATTGTCAATTCATTATTATTTACTAATACATAATTTGTCTGAATGTTATTAATACAATTATTAATTTCAGGTTGCTGCATGGGACGAACACTCAGAAGTTTGTTCTGGCTAAATAATGGCGTATATCGATCCAAAACCTCGTACTCGCAGCAACGAGTAAAATACCTATTCAACTAAGAATAAATCTAGTCAAAAAAGAATGGCCAAGAATATACGCGTATATTGAGTACGATAGGTCGAAGGGAATGACGTTAAGAAAACAGTGTATATTTTTAAGGATCCTCAGATATGTTTAATCTGTAAAGAAATAAGTTCTATTTCATTAAAGATGGATCAACAAGTAAAGAATGATAACGCATCGAACTTCGAACAATCCGGCGAGAAGATCGAAGTTTGAGTTGAAACGGTCGTTGCTTCATTGTAATCACCGCGCGTTGCTTTTATTCGATATCGTTATCAAACGATCGAGGATCTTTACCGAGATCAAGAGAGTATTAACCCTGCTAAAGTTAAGCATTTAATGTGTATCTTCCAAAAAGTAAATTGTTCCAGAAATTCCTAATTATAATTCGCGTTAAATGTAAACACACGTGAGAACTTTATGTATCGGATGCTTTTTTGTTACATTTTAACAAATGTATGACGTACAATGTTGAGGATTTTCAACTTTTTTCAAGGGAAGTAAAGAAGGAAGGAAGCTATATCTCGCAATGCTGTACAAAATTTTATACATATTAGCAGGGTTGTTCAGCATCTGACTTTAAATGAAAATTAATTAATCGTGTGCCATGCGTAAGATTCGTTTCATGGTCAGCTTTGCATTCTGAGAAAGATCTAAGATATAGGTTACTTGAGTGTCTTTATAATCCTGTCACATCATTTCGTTTCTCTCTTTTATTTCTAATTCTAAGCAAAGCATGTATGCATTATAGTAAAACGACGTCGCATTTGACGATCACAGTGCGAGGTACATAGGGACACTCAACCTTCATGTATTTTTGTCGTTCATTCAAGATGGGTACATAAAATACGTACCTAATACCATATTTTATACCATATTTGTTACCAACGTATAAATCTAGAATTAACGAAACGTTAGCCTTAGTGTAGATTTAAGCTATTTCTTTTCCCTTCAGCTCTTTCACTTGTTCGTTGGTAACGTATTGACACGATTTAAGTTCACTTTCTCCTTTTTTTTTTAAATTAGCATGTTACCCAAACGACAATTGTCCCAGACATAATCTGTAGTCCAAAGTTCCTACAGGTAAACGCAACATTATATATATTTTTCCCAATTACGATGCAAACCAAAATAAAATAAAGTTTTTAAGCGCATATTTGGATCTACTTATTATCCCTGCTACCACGTGATTTGTCAGTAAGTGAAATAGAAGAAGAAAATTTCCTGTCACTCACTTCTAATCTTCTTTCTTTAAGGAAGAATTAAATAAACAATAATGAATGCAGTGCCAATATGATCCTTTATAATACATTTATATTTATAAAATAATTTACACATAGAGTATACTATAAACCCATTAGTACAGTGCTGGCACTAACGGGTGTTTGTGAAGGTGCGCTAGCTTGTCTTACACTCATCTCCCAAGTGTCTAATAATTGAGATACAGAAAAACGGCGAGGGAGTTTCGTTATGTGTGCGTTCAAAGCCTTCTGTACAGCACAAAGGAATGATGTAGCGTATTCGTGAGGCGCCATCACACAGCGTGGTGGCGTTAGGGGGTAATCTGCGGGAACTGTAACCGATACTGGCGGTACACATGGTAGATGACGATCGTCCAGCCAACATATTAACTGAATACATTTAGATCCGTTTTGTTGTGCTGGATCAAGGCTTACCTAGATGCATTTTCAAATACGTAATATAAGTATAGTCATTGAATTAGATAATAAGATGTGCTAGTAGAAAACTACCTTAAATCGCTGGTCAAGCCGAGCTATTTCTCCTTGTAATACATCTGGTATTTCACTAGGAGACTCTTCAATTTTTTGTTTCTTCAATGGCGGTGGTAGATTTCTGTTTTCATAAAAATTGATTTAATTAACATCATCTCAAAAGAAGATGACATAGATTACAATTTAAATATTACTTACTTTATTTCTGGGCTAAATAAAGCTTCTAAACACGGACCAAAGGTTCGTTGTAGCGTATGATTTATCACTGGACTTTGAAGATGAGTGCTTACTGCCTCCAAAAGTGGGCTGAAAAAATGATGTTCTTTAAGCGCCGCTGGAGGTGGCCCAACGCTTGCATCGCTACGTTTAAAATCCACTTTTTCAAGAACAGCCTCGCACTTTAGCAGTGTATCCATTGGCATCCGTTTGCTAGGATTTGATAGAATCTCTAATAGTTTCTTCATCTTACTCAATTTATCGACATCTGTAAAGTAGATTCACATGGTTCAAAATATGCATATACCAATCAACAATTTTATGTTATCAATATAACATTGAAAATACTTACTTCCTTCGCTACCCATTCGAGCAATCATTCTTCGTAAAGGTTCAATATATTTACTCAATTGTCTAACTTTATCCCTATATGCTTGATCTTCCTGTTGTGGACTTGGAGTAGCACCTACACCTCCAGGAGTATTCAAAGAACTGCTAGGTGATGGCGCCATACCTAAAATACCACTACTAATTATTCTTATTCATTCGTTTGTAATTGTAAATTTAATTCCAAAACATTAATCTAACGTACCGACAGATCTATTCTGACCTGCCATTATGGCATGTTGAGGATTTGGTGATGGAACTAATGCTGGAGATGCCACCATCTGATTGCTATTAACATGTATTTTTTATTGATTAATATTTTAAAAGATGTATGAATTTTTTAATATACGTGTAATAAGTGTTTCAGAATAATAACCTTGATGGTGCACCTAAACCAGCTGGACTTGGAGCTGATGGAGACGGACTTTGCCGTAAAAATTGATTTGCTGCGACGTTTCTAGGGCCTGGAAATCCAGTGTTTATCATTTCAGCAGGCTAAAAATAATAAAACAAAAATATCTCAAATAATTTCATCATATAATAAATTGTTTATTTTTATTTACATACCTTTCTTTGCATGTGATTTAGTTGTTGCTGCATTTGACCAGGTCCCAATTGTCCTGGAGCAATTTGATTCATCTGTTGTGACATACTAGTTTGAATTCCACTTATAGATCCACCAATCTGATTCCCAATTTGATTAGATAATTGATTTTGCATTTGCGTCTAAAAACGAATTTCATTGCTTATACGTATATTTATTCTATAAAATAAAGATGCACAAGGTGTTTTATAACTTGTGGGATTTACTTCCATGATGACAAAATTGTAGTCATTTCGTATTTAGTAAACACATAATAGAAATGCTTATATGCAACTATAAAGTCTAAATTTTCATACTACATACTTTACTACGAAAATAAGTATACTCAATACTGAAATATAGAAACGATTATAACTCTAAAATAAAAATAAGTAGGAAATATGTTTTGATATTTTCCAATTTTTGTATCTGCTATTCAACTGCTGTAGTAAGTCCCACATATTGTAAAATATTGTACATTCTTCATTAAAACATTTACATACTTGCATATTTTGTTGCATCTGTCCACTAGTAATTGGGCCCATTTGATTAGTCACAACTTGATTCATTTGTTGGGGCATGTTTCCTTGTCCCATTGGATTCATTTGAATCAACATTGAATTATTCTGCATTGTTTGGATTGGACCCATATGACTCATTGGACCATTGGCTTGGGCAGACATCATACTCATACCTGGCATTTTACTTTGCATACTTTGCATGGCCATCGGCTGCCCAGGACGTTGATTTAAGCTTTGTAATACTAACAAAGAAAGGAAACGAAATTATTGTAGATAAATTCAAAGTAATATCTTTTGAAATTTACTTATATAAAACACTTTTATATATTTAAATATTATAAGTTTATGTTAACTCTTATACGTACAAGGATGGAAAAAAGTATTTAAACCCAATTTTCCTCACATCTGTCACGTCTGGTATAATTAATTAAGATGCTGCCAGATATTTAAAGGTATTTGTGTAAAGTAAAAGTAAATGAAGTATTACCCTAGGAAATTTGATGCAATTGTTTTTGAGCAGTGTATGAAGGTATGTGTAATAAAAAATATATTTGCTACATTATTTGCTACATTATTTAAATCTACATAATATTTTAAATCATAATAAGTGTACAAGAAAAATATAAATTAGCAATACAACATAAAGTATTAAGCATATTTTAATGTAACTAGACAGCAGATCTTTATGCAAAATAAAATTTGTCTGTACCACCTGCAAAGCGTAAGAGCCAAACACAAGTTCTTTTTTTTTAATATGGTCAAAATAATACATCACATTTTTAGATTCCTTTACTCTTGCCACTGTTTTAAATTATATTTACTTATTTTTGCCATAAATGCATAAAATCTGGAGTCTAATAATAACCAGCTATAAACTTAAAGTAACAGTACAGAAACGTCTAATATATGTATATCTTTAACTTTTTGATGTAACTTAATTATATTATGATTTTATTATTTCATTAAACTACATATAGGAAAAATCTTTCTCTTTCATAAACATATCAAATGCTTTTAATAAATCAAAATTAATGAACTTTTCACATTTTTCTTGCAGTTTTCTTCGGTGTATAGTCTCTACTTCTCTTGACATATTTTGTCTACATTTATACTTATACGTAAGATCGACAACATTTAGATTGTCATTTAATACTAATTCTAAAATTATAACATCGTCATGGTCTATTTTTATCACACCTACAGGCCATCCTTTTCCTTTTAACATTATTTTTAGAATAGTACAAGATTCAGTTAATTGAAAATCAATATCTTTGTATGTTCCTTTCATATCATCAATCCATTGATATATGTATAATAGTTTTCCTGTGTATATTTCCAATAAATTTTTCCATTCGCGCACTAGTTTAAGAATTTTTTCTCCAGTTGGTTGATAAGTACCGTTTTTTATTTTATTTTGGAGAATTATCACTTTTGGCACTCTACTACGTGCTAAACTAATATACCATTTACGTAATAATTCTACATACACAATTGTTATTTTAAATTTGATGCCTTCGATGGAGGTATTTTTAGTGACAGGTTTATAAATATAACATACTCTGTTAGCTCTCAGATCAACTGTCATGCCACATTGTTCTTTAACCTGATTTGCAAAATTTGTGTTTTCACGTAATTTTTGCTTCCAGCATTTATGTAATAATTTTTCATCTCTTCGGTGTTGAATGAAACTTAGAAATTCAACATGTGATGGTGATTGCTGTAATTTTTTATATGTATCTGAGTTATCAGAATCGTAATTAGGCTCACTTTCTGTGAAACTGGCATACTGTGCGTAATACATAGTTGTTAATCTTTTCATTTTAATCAATTTTGTTACATCTCTATTACAAAAATTAAAGATAATTTGTACAGTATAGTCCATTCGTTATAGCATCGTATTTCTATTTGTACTATCTCACGCCGACTGTGGCGAATAACATCGGTGACCTACCCAAAAATACAAATCAAAATAAATACATGTACGAATATTCCTTGCAAGTATGTATTTAATTCGTCATTGACGAGGGATTATCCCCAACCCGGAAAGTACAAAAATTCTGAAACATGGGGAATAAGAAGAGAATTTTTAAGTATGTATTACGCAATTTTTTTTGCGTAAATACACTATANCCACTGTTTTAAATTATATTTACTTATTTTTGCCATAAATGCATAAAATCTGGAGTCTAATAATAACCAGCTATAAACTTAAAGTAACAGTACAGAAACGTCTAATATATGTATATCTTTAACTTTTTGATGTAACTTAATTATATTATGATTTTATTATTTCATTAAACTACATATAGGAAAAATCTTTCTCTTTCATAAACATATCAAATGCTTTTAATAAATCAAAATTAATGAACTTTTCACATTTTTCTTGCAGTTTTCTTCGGTGTATAGTCTCTACTTCTCTTGACATATTTTGTCTACATTTATACTTATACGTAAGATCGACAACATTTAGATTGTCATTTAATACTAATTCTAAAATTATAACATCGTCATGGTCTATTTTTATCACACCTACAGGCCATCCTTTTCCTTTTAACATTATTTTTAGAATAGTACAAGATTCAGTTAATTGAAAATCAATATCTTTGTATGTTCCTTTCATATCATCAATCCATTGATATATGTATAATAGTTTTCCTGTGTATATTTCCAATAAATTTTTCCATTCGCGCACTAGTTTAAGAATTTTTTCTCCAGTTGGTTGATAAGTACCGTTTTTTATTTTATTTTGGAGAATTATCACTTTTGGCACTCTACTACGTGCTAAACTAATATACCATTTACGTAATAATTCTACATACACAATTGTTATTTTAAATTTGATGCCTTCGATGGAGGTATTTTTAGTGACAGGTTTATAAATATAACATACTCTGTTAGCTCTCAGATCAACTGTCATGCCACATTGTTCTTTAACCTGATTTGCAAAATTTGTGTTTTCACGTAATTTTTGCTTCCAGCATTTATGTAATAATTTTTCATCTCTTCGGTGTTGAATGAAACTTAGAAATTCAACATGTGATGGTGATTGCTGTAATTTTTTATATGTATCTGAGTTATCAGAATCGTAATTAGGCTCACTTTCTGTGAAACTGGCATACTGTGCGTAATACATAGTTGTTAATCTTTTCATTTTAATCAATTTTGTTACATCTCTATTACAAAAATTAAAGATAATTTGTACAGTATAGTCCATTCGTTATAGCATCGTATTTCTATTTGTACTATCTCACGCCGACTGTGGCGAATAACATCGGTGACCTACCCAAAAATACAAATCAAAATAAATACATGTACGAATATTCCTTGCAAGTATGTATTTAATTCGTCATTGACGAGGGATTATCCCCAACCCGGAAAGTACAAAAATTCTGAAACATGGGGAATAAGAAGAGAATTTTTAAGTATGTATTACGCAATTTTTTTTGCGTAAATACACTATAAGGGGTGGAAATTTACTCTATAAATTTCGGTTATTTAATTTTATATTAATTTTATATTTCGGTTATTTCATTTTATTTAATATAAAATCTTACAAACAAAAATTACTTCTTTTATCCAAATCTATAATAAGGTATGCGATTTGTTAATTGTTTAAACAATTGAAAAAAGGTATAATCAAATAATCGATATTTTTTTTACTTCTTTATTACATTTGAATCACCTGTGGATCGGTGGAAATCTGTTAAAAAAAAACTTCGCGCAAAATTGACCTTGACATCAAGATCAAATTTGTTGTTGTTCGTCAAGAGGGACAATAGTCTTAAAAGAATCATGGGTTACAAGTCAACCCTTTACAAAAAAAACGATGTTAAAAACGATATATAAAAATCATGTCGATGGGTAAGACAAGATAACTATTAAGAATATCATCAAATGAATAACATGTACTATACACTATATAACATGTTATTCATAACAATGTACTATATACTATATAACAAATAGTTCCAGAGAAAATTGTGTGCAAAAATTAAGGTTAGGGATCCTGTACATTATATACACATATGTATCTGTATTTATGTTGACACCTTTTGTTTTAAGTTTGGTGTCTGCATTTTGTCGTTTATTGTTTCTCACATCGACAATGCATCACTATTGAAGGAGAAATGAAACTGTTCATATTACTCTAGATTTTTTAATTAAAAGTGTAATTCTTGAATTGTCCTGCCATCAGAAAGTAAGTTGACATATATTAAATTTTATTTTTTTTATTAGAATATTAGATTTGTAGTTAGTTATTTGTATGTTTTCATATGTAAACAAATCTAAATGATATATTTTGTGTATAAACTTTGTATTATAATAGGCAATTTCTTACAAAATGCCAAAAGTTAGAAAATTGAGTGCGGCAGAACGAGTACAAATTTATAATTGTCGAGCAAGTGGCGAATCTTTGAAAAAAATTGCTATAGACTTCAGCATTTCAAGAGAAGGTGTAAGAAAGATATTTCAAAAAATAAATATTACTCGAAGACTAGAAAATTTAACTAGAACTATAGGAAGTAGGAAGCCAACCAATCATCAAGATAGACAAATAGTTTGAGAAGTTAAAAAAATCCATTCCTTCCATCCTTCATCCATTCCTAATACCAGAAAATTGAAAGAAAATTTATATTTGCCCATTAGAATTATATATGTATATCGTGAAAAAGGCCATATATTTCAAAAGTCGATGCTGCAAAGCGTTTAAGATTTGCTGAAGAATATTATAAAAAACCAATTTCGTTCTGGGAAACAATTATTTGGAGTTGATGAATCCAAATTTGAAATGAAATTAAGTAAAAGAAGATAATATGTATGGAGGATGCCCCATTATGATATAGAGCTGTTTTAATAACGATCGATGCATAAAATTGAAAAAAATAGGTCATTCGTCTTTCAGCAAGATAACGACCAGAAGCATACATTAAGGATTACAAAAGAATTTTTTTTTGCTTCCATGACCATCTCAAAGCCTCAATCTGAA